AGTTCTTACCTTACATCTAAGTTCTCGTTCGTTTAACTTGTTTTTCAATGAGGAATTCAGAAGTAATCACGACTTGGCTTGGCTGCATGCTTACAACAACTGATCAGACTTGCACTTTAAAAGAAGACCGCGCCCTTCTTAGGGACTTACCGCATGAATTGCGCCCCTCGAGGGACCAACCATGCTCTCCAGTGCTAGAGGGTAAACTAATTGCTCTCCAACGCGAGAGGGTAAACCAATTCCCTGACACCCACATGGGTCAGCTCTCCAAGAACGGGAGGATAAACTCTACACTCCGAATATCCAGATGTGGATGAGCCGGGCTACCCTAGTATAACTAGATGCACGATGGCTTGCGCCGGGATTCCTAGAAGTAGCCGCAAGGTCTTTTTCAAGGCTTAGCTAACTGAAGGATTTTGGGTCTCTTGGCCTAATCCGTGTGGAACCGGGCCTTAGAGACGGAGAGGGCACATTACGCAGTACATCCAATGGATGGCTGCCCTGGAATCCTAAAGCTGCTACCGAGTGCACTAAGGTAGCCTACGGATTCCGGAAGACTGCCTACGGCTTACCCTTCGAACAGTAAAGCCGCACTAGACTTATACAACCGCACATTCTTGTGAAAGGTTAAACAAGCTAGCACGTATATACGAAGTTTTATCTACTGCCGACATGCTACGTAGTCGATAAGCTTCACCTCTGCCGAGCGCGGAACAACCTACACCAAGTCCTAAAGTGTTGTGATACTTGCTACACAACCTACGGAATTGGAGAAAGTCAAGGTTAACAGCCTAGTGGTTACGCGGACTTGTCTGCTTCTGTAAGTAAGGCATCCGGCTGCTAACCTAATGGCTAACAACTTTGCAAAGTTCTACACCAACACCTACGGCTGCATAGGCTACGCAAGCTTGTCTGCTTATAAAAAAGTAGCATGCTTGCCACTGGTCTATTAAGTCTAAAGGTTAGGGCATGAACAAAAGAAGCAAAAATGAAGAAAAGCTAAGGAAAACATGTTTATAAACAACTAGCAAAGGCCGAAAGAGTTCAAGCAAAAAAAAGAGCTACAAGGAAAAACAAAGAAAATCTTAAAGGCTACCTAGATGATTACACTTTAGCAGCCTGGACATCCCATGACTATTCGGTCGCCACACCTTCAGTAGCCGCGAAGCTCTTAGCAACGGCATCACCCCCAACTGCTCCAGCCTGGGCACCAACTTCTCCAACTACTTCACCAATACCAACATGGACGCGCTGCAGCTCATCCACTTCTTTCTTCAAACTTTCGTTGATCTTCAGTACACCTTGAAGTTCCAACACTTGGGGTTCAAGCCTATCGATGATTCTCTTGAAGTGGATCACTTGATTATAAGCAGCAATCAACTTTTCATCCTTTGTATAAGCAGCGAAAGAAGTCTTTGGTTTTTTCTCAGACGGCATCTCTTAAGCAGGCAGGGAAGATCCTTTTTCCCACCTTCAATTGCAGCAGGATCCACAACGGTGATTGGACGAACCAATGCATTCGCCTTGATCCTATTCACCTCTTATTTTGGGAGCAGCCCACGTTTCTCCTGACGAAGAGAGTTAAAGTAGCCAACGCCATTCGTGTTACCCAGCAGGGGAGTTCAACCCAACATTCGAGCAGCCCATGAGATCCACAATCTCCTCATTTCTCTCAATCGCCAGCCTGGTCCATGTCAGGTCCAAGAGCCCAAAGGACATGAGTCATGCGGCTCGCCTAACACTGCGCCCCAACGTCACAATCAGTGACCCCAGCCGCACAAGCTGCCCTTGGCTCAAGCCAAGCCAAGCTACCCAAGCAGTGGTCCCTGCCATGACATCTCATCGGCCTATGCCGAGCAAACTCCTGGCCCCTGCCAGCCGACATGCCACACCACCCCGACGGCTGCCCTGCAATAGCACTATCCAAGAAGAAGGCAAGAAAAATTAAATTTTTCTTACATCGGTGCGGCACGGAGAAGACGAAGAAATCAACGAAAGACGGTCCTTTGCACGGGCAAGATGTAGAAGATTGCTAGAGAAGGGGGAACAAATATCCTCTAACTTTCTCTCTCTTGTTGGGTAGAATAAATCGCTCTCCAAAGTTGATTTAATAACCCACTTAAGGTGGACTTAAATAGGCTTTGAGAGAAATTTATTTCCCTTTCCTAGAAGGATCTAATTTCCATTTAAAGAGAGAATCAACATCAAAATAGGAAGTAGTCTTAAGTTTCCTAAAGCAAGAAAATCTCTACACATGTTGCCCTTTCCTACAAGCAGCCCAACAGGTGTAGGGACATTTGTGGAGCCAAAAATAATCACAAGGCGACACGTGGATTTTTGACAAAAGAAGACAAAACTACCATTAAGGCATACCGGGATTCCTACGCGCAAGCAGCAGGCAATTATCCCTCAACCAAGTCAAAAGTGTCCAAAATAGGTATCAACTTAAAACCTAATTTATTCATATATTTCCCATTTCATTATTTAGCTAATCAATTAGCTAAATAATATACTTATTCCTTTCATATTTCCTAAAATCATAATAATTGACTAATTAAGGGATTAATTACCTAATCAATCCCTTAATTATCAATTGAAACACCCATCCAAACCTAAAACTACTAAAGTGGCCGGCCAATCCCATCAAGAAAAGTAAACCACCTTATTCTCCACATTTTCCACTATTTTCCCTTTTTAATTACCCTAATTAATTAGCCAATTAATTCCAAAAACCACCAAAACATTCATTTTATGTTTAATAGCCAAATAAATGGGCTAATTAAACCTAAATCAAACACAAAACCCTAGCTAGGCCGGCCACCCCTATCCCTATAAATAGATTCCCATTTTCACCAAAAGATCATTCCAATTTTCTTACAAAAAATCTCAAATACTCTAAACACTATTTCTCTCTAAAATTCTAACTTTGGCATCGGAGGTTCTTCGGCCAAAGCCGCCCCCATTCATCGTGGGCGCGTGAGGCTTTTGGCCTTAACCTAAGGTGCTAGTTGTTTTGTAGGTGCAAAATCGTCCAAGATTGAGGAGGAGAAAATTTGTATCCACAACAGCTTCCCAAGAGGTTGGCGCCAGTTGATATTGTCTGTCAGGCTTCTGCTTATTGGCGGGCTGTAAGAGAAAGACAAAGTTAATTCTGAATTGTGCCTTTGTGTGGCCTTAGGTGTAGGCCTTGAGGCTCATAATCAAAATTAACTTTAGGTGTTCAGGCGTGCCACTGCCATATTTAGCATGACAGATGTAAAACAGATGTTTAGTTTAATTGTATATGCTCGAGAGACCAAGTTAGCTATGAAAGGTGCCTTTGTAGGGCCTTAGGTGCAGGCCTTGAGGCTCGCAATCAAAACTAACCATGTACTTGAACATATAGTGGTTGTTTCATTGTTGCAGAAGTATTACAACTATTGTACTTTAATCACCTGAGCCCGCAGAGCAAAACAAACCCAGATAAGTGCCTTTGTAAGGCATTAGGTATAGGCCTTGAGGCTTCCCATCAGAATTAATTCTATACACATGTGTTCTATGGCAATCATAATAAAACAAAAGTAAAACTAAGAAATAGGCTGATTACTTGCGCCCCAAGTAACGTCGGACTTCTTGTTATCAAGGATTGTCGTGGATAGGTTAAGTCCACATAAAGTTCTTTTTTTTATGCCTTAAGACCAAGGACTTTTGATTGATAAATCTTGCATGCCCGAAAAGTTAGAACTTAGATCTAGTCAAACATGGTTGGGCACCATTAAACCGACCAGATCCAAGAACAAAGAAGCCTTTTAATCATAAACTTGCTAGAAATAACTTGGATACAGATGGAAATATATATCATATTACTAGATTTATGAATGAAAAGACAGAACAAAGAAGGTCCGGCAAGGCTGATCATCTTGCAACTTCCTCTCTTTGTGATTTACAAAGGGTTTGAGTGCTAGAATGAGAGATTGAGAGATGAGTTTACAGGAGGGAATCGATACTACAGCAAGATTTAGACAAGGTAGCAAAGCTTTTACAAAGGCTTTTGGTGAAGGTTGATCCTGAAAATGATGAAGGCTTAGTGCTAACTACAGCTTCATATGCAAATCTGGCTTGAGCAGAGTTTGTGTGTTTGTTTGTTTGATTGAGTGTGACTATCTCTGATTTCTCTTTTCCTTTTTATAGATGATTTGGCTTGGCTACCTGCAACATCGATTTTGCCCGAATGCAGCTGAAGGGTAGTGACTCATCAACTTTTTACTTGTACTGCCATTGTAAAGTACTTTTTGGGCTGATTAGCTAGCTAGTCTACACCACTTGATTTCTAGGTAGGTGAGCAAGTGGCTCAAATGATCTGCACTTAGTCAAGAAAAGAGCCTCTTCCTCCTTCTGGGCTTCGGCTAAGCCTTGGGCTTCCTTCCTTCTGAACCTTCTTCTGGGCTAACTCCCTTTTAAGCCCAAAGTTCCAGTTTTAACCCAAACAATGGTAATGTTAGATTTTTTTCTTTTTCCAACTAATATGCTTTTTTGTTATAAATGATATTTGTATGACCCATTTTTAAAAGAAATCAATTAAAATAAATTTCAAGATTTTTAATTAGTGCAATAATGGGATCCAAGTAATAAAATAATTAAAAATTAATTTGACATATCAGTTAGAGTTTGCTCCTACCTTCAAATTTGAATACATGACATTCCACTTAGGATTTGACATCTCATTTCGAGATGATCTAAGCAGGCTTTTAATTTGTTGGGTACTCTTAAAGAGAACGAGAGAAATTTACCTACAACGAGAATGCTATTATATTTGTATCTCAAAATAATCATGTATTTTTATGCATTTTAAATTTCGCATGACAATACATGACTGCTAATTAGGAGAAATTTTTCATTGTGACCGGAATACAGGTGGTACACCATGTATTTTAATATAAGTGGTGAGAAATTTTATTTTTTAAGCTATTAACTTTTTAACACACATATCCTATCATTTAAACAATGACACAGTGTACCACTCAGTATTTCGGTCACACTGAAAAATCTCTCTGTTGTAAGAAAGTTTCCCTCCAAAAGGCACCGCCTTTTCTTATAAGAGTACAGAAAGCAAAGGTCCCAAACTAAAAGCAACGCATATGATAAGATGAGTTCTATTCTTGATTCTTCTACTACTCGCTCAACTTCTTCCTAGCTAGTTCCTGCCAAGCAATACAGGATCTGGTTCCTCCACTCACTCATGCTAACAGTGCATTTACACTAAGATTAAATTTTAACTAATAATTAATAAAATTCACATCCAAACCATACATCTAAAGAAACTTCCCAGTTGTCGGTTTTTTTTTTTTCTTCGTCTCTCCTGCTCTCTCTCTCTTCAGTTACCTGTTAAATTAGTGGAGAGGCACGTGATGCTGATGACACAGTAGGCCAAAACTGAGCGTTCTTCACCTTTGAGACACTGGCAAGGACACTCAATGGGGTTACATCTCCAGTGACTGTCACCTTCTTTGCTGCAAAGTCTATGTTGAATGATGTCACCCCTGCCAACAAAATTCACAACAATTAACCTTGAGTTTATATATTCATTGGTAAAACTAAAATTGCCATAAGTGGATGTTAAATTTACTGAATGAGCTCTTATTACAGTTGAGAAATGGAATTGATTTCCGCACAACCTTTTCTCCTTTCTGCACACCTTTATTTATTGTTGTGTCTTAATTTTCTTATAGTTTATTCAATTTAAACGCAAAAATAAACATGAGAGTGCATGAAAAAAAAAAGAATTGGTGGATATCACTTCTTTGAATGATACAATCTAGTAAAAAAGTTTTCAGCTTTAAGGATTTAAACAAATTACAAAATGGTAAAAAAGCAATTACCTTCCATTCTGGATAGATGTTTTCTCAGTTTTCCTACACACCCTTTGCAGTGGAGAGACACCATCAATACAACAACCTGCAAAAGAAAATCATTATCACAAGTAATCGTTAAAATAATTACTCAAGGCTTTGATTATTCCTCGACCTGGGATTCACACTCCCGACTATTTAAACCAAATTTGGAACCATCAACATTGTTTAGTATTACTCCTGTGCATATAAACTAACAATTTGAGCAAGAAAAAACAGAAGAATTTGGACATACCTGGTTGGAAGGGGGGGGCGGCAGAGGCGGTGGTTGTGAGTCTTTTGTCAGAGATGAGGAAGAGCTAATTGGAGAAGTAGTAGATTCATTTTCTTTGAGTATTTTTACTGCATTTTGGCTCTTTTTCTGCCCAACTGGAACCAATGCCGAAACCGGATCGTAATCGGATAACCCATCAAAGATCACAGTATCACTCAAAAGGTATCTGGTGGAGCCAGGAGGAGTGATGAGATCAGTAGGGTTTGCAGAGCTCTTCCTCACAACAACACTCTCACTTGGAACAGAAGAAAACTTCTTCACATTTTCATCCAACTTTCCTTGTAAAAGATTACTACTCTTCCTCTTCTGGTCGTTTTCTTTTGTGGAGCTCTTTTTCTTGTTTTGATGATCAGTGCTTGGTCTTGGTGATGAGGAGGTTTTTTTCTTGCTCTTTGGGATTTGGTGGTAGGCTTTGGGATTGATGGGAGATTGGGAAGAGCATGGAGCAATGGGAAGGGTTCTGGAGCTTGTGCTTCTTCTTGCATCTTGGATGATGGGGTTGTGGCGGTCGAGGGCTCGGCCTCCAAGTTGAATGACGGAGGAGGAAGAGGAGGATGCTTGATTATCCATGCTCATGCATATGGCTGTCGAAGCTTGGGATGCACAGAAGATGTCTATGCCCTTCATCTTCATATTTGATATTGATAACACAGAGTGGGAGCTAGTGGTTTAGAGAATCTGCATAAAAGAAGGAGAGAGAGAGAGAGAGAGAGAGAGAGAGAGAGAGAGAGAGAGAGAGAGAGAGAGAGGTTTAGAAAGATGGTCGGTAGTTTAATTTCTGCTTTTGAGCTTGAAGCTTCCTCTTGGAGATAAAGGAGATGTTGAAGAAACATAATGTGGTTGGAGATTCCAAGCAAGTTAAAAAAAAATATATGATTTTTTAGTAAGAAAACTGATTTAATTGTATGATACACTGGAAAGATAATGTTGAAAGTTTTTCACAAAGTGATTTTCGCACTTTCGGTAGTTTTTCCGTTGCACTACTCATCTCTTTGCTTTTGTCTATTTTAATCTGTTCAAATTTATTACTGTTAGAATAAGAATTAGAGTAGGAGGAAAACAGAAAAAGAGCGCAAAAATCACTTCCATACAGTGCCAATATTAAATTAGACTATTCCAATACCAAAAAATGAAATGAAACTCCCACATCATGGGGCAGTACAAGTTGGACTTGGTGCTGAGACTCTGGTTAAAAATAAAAAAAAAAATTGAGGGGAGGAAGGAAAGCAAAAAAGTAGTAGAAGCATCCTTTATGATATACAGCTAACTTATCTGCGGAATCAATGGATGAAAATGATGTGTAGTAAGTGCCTAGTTTTATTTCATTTCCATGTATGTGTTACCATGTACCAGTTGTATTATAAGTCATATAATTTTCGCATTGTCTCATTATTATATTTAGAGGAAGACACATGCAATTTCGACCTAAAAGTGAGTCATATATTCTTAAAATTTTCAAAACAAAAGTATCCACTCAATTTTCACAAATCCACCTCAAACTCAATTTTGGTTTTCTCCAATCACATATCTACAGAATACAACAACACTTTCTCACTACAATGTGTCAGTTGTAACTAAATATTAAAGACACTAAAACGTCTAAAACTGGATCGAACTTGAGATCTCTTCCCCTTGGTAACAATCATTGTGAGATAAAAAACAAGCTAATTGATGAACCTATAGTTGCGGTACAGTTGTTTTTTTATTTTTTTATTTTTTCTGAAGTAGAGCAGTGCCAGCCCTGAGGGTGTGCAATAGGTGCCACCGCATAGGGCCTCCAAATCGTAAGGGCCCCCGATTTTTCAAATTTGCATGCATTTACATATATATAGTAGCATGTATAGAATGTTATAAACTCAAGTCTTAGCGCAAGTGATATTATTGCTTCTTTACAATTGAAAACTAAAATTATTATTTTGAACAAAAAAAAAAAAAAAAAATCTTAGTGTTTTTTAGGACCTTCAATTCACTTTCGCATAAGACCCTTGAAATGTCAGGCCAGCCCTAAAGTAAAGTATGACATTCATTAATGGAGGTAAAAATGAATAGGAACAAAGAGAGTGAGTGTCCGCACCAAAATACAAACTAATTTACATCCTTTAATAACAAGTCGACGATCAAATCAGGCAGTTTTTTAAACTAAATGGCCTCTCGTTCTTCTCCGACTCCATTTCGAGTCAGTCTCTCTGCAATTAGATGAAGTAATTTATGAGTGTCGGTGTGCCATTACATAGGCAGTTGTATAACTCGTATTTTGAAATACTATTATCTTTTTGGTATTCCTTCATTTGGAATCATTTTTTTCTTTCAAGTAATTAAGGGATTGCATTAGGAGAGCATCAGATATTGCAGATGGTGCACTAGGACCAATATAAATACATAATTAATTAGGGCATTTGATGGTGTAATTACAGAGCTAAATATCCTAATTTTGGCTTGGATAAGAGTGGAGGACCCGTGACATCTTCCTTTGGATGCTTTAACCTTAAGATTTATATAATATTGGAAAGTGAAAGAAATTGTATCCTGCAAATACTAATTTATTGTATAGTCTGATAAACTGTTGGCCTGGGGCATACATGCCCTACAAATTTATATTCACTACTTATTCACACGCTTGGCAGCAACTTGTCCCCATGAGATTAGTCTTTGAAATGAAACAAACAAACGATCAGAAGAGACAGACCAACGGCTTCCTCAGTTTCAGCGTGACTCTTAATTTTATATTATAAATTCACTTAAGTTATAAAACATGCGTATCTGCTTATTAAGATTGTATTTCAAATCTGTGATATATCGATCATGTTGCACTTCGTGTTATAACATGTGGCGAGGCAGTCACACTCATAGCAACTTACATGTCGTGAGTTCAATCATATTGAAATGTCTTTTTAATCAAAATAGTTCTTGAGATTTGCATAACACATAACTTTGGTTCTTGAGATTTAAAATCAATAGAAGTGGTCCCTGAGATTGTCCACCATCTATTATTTTGGTCATTTTGTTAAAAAACTCTGTTAAGTTGAGGGTATAACACATAACTTTGGTCCCTGAGATTTGCATAACACATAACTTTGGTCTCTGAGATTTGCATAATACATAACTTTGGTCTCTAAGATTGTCCATCATCCATCATTTTGGTCATTCCATTAAAAAGCTCAAGGACCACTTAATGGAATGACCAAAATAATGGATGGTGGATAATCTCAGTAACCATTTCTATTGATTTTAAATCTTAAGAACCAAAGTTATGTGTTATGAAAACATTAGGGACCATTTTGACTAAAAAGCTTATTGAAATTGCAGGATTTTGTAGCTCACTTAACTAAAACCATTTCCCTTTGCAAATGAGGTTACAAGTAAAATTGAGATTACGAGTTTAATTCCACTTCTCTCGTATCGCTTGTCTTAAACAATCATATTATATTTAAAATTGCAAAGAAAAATATAAGGGTTTGAAGAATTAAAGAACAAGCAGAAGAAGGTCCTACAAAAACGTTCTTAAGAAGCCAAGCATACCAGCAATGGAACAAAGATATGAAAGGAAAGAAGGAAAGCTTTCCAGATGATATTTATCATGCAATTATTAAGATTCCTATGGAATAAATGTTGCCAGCATATAAATTGAATAAATAAATAAAAGAAGGGAAAACCATTTGGAATTTTGCTTTCTTTTCTATGGATGGATGAGACACAAAGTTCTCACTGTGAGAGATATTTCTACTCCTCAAGGGTTGTGGAATCAGATGCTTATATAAATGGCTACCATCACTCATTAACTCCTTTCTTTTTCTTCCTTTATATCCCCCTGCCTACTCTCCACTTTCAACAATTCAGACTCCCAATTCCAAACGTTTCCATCCTTTTTTTCAAATATATATATTTATTTTTCCTGCTGTCTGATAATCTTGATTAAGTGTCTCTCCCTATCACTTTGTCATACGTAGCTTAAATCAATTGGTTAAGACAAGGTGTCTACTCTTATGCAATCAAGTTCAGTCTCTTTCTGTGTAAACCGTAGTTTAAGAGAACAACTTACGTGGAACAAGTTCATAGTTATTGTGGCACTTGGGTCTAATAATTATTATACATGTCAATGTGTTAATGGATGAAGACGTCACATAGTGGTGAATCATTTCCATGCAAATCCAAATAAAATAGATAGACATTTCTCTTCATCTCAGGTCGTGACGGATCTTCTCAATTCAAAGATCTCTCGTAAGTCATTTAGGAGAGTAGTTTACATAAAATGAGTTTATTAATGATGTCCCGATCCAATAATGCATTAAACACATCTTAATGAATTATTGAATCAAGACACCCCATAACTCGGTAATCCCATGTCTTTTGTTTTTTGACTTAGTCTAGAACTTCAATTGGACTTGCATGGAGGTGGAAAATGGGGGGGTTGTTTAGAAGGTAAGCTTTCTTCTTTTTTGCTTTAAAGTTCGGTCAAAACTTTATTAGAAAATTATAGATGTGTTCGGTAAGTGAGAGGGCAGCTTTTTCGTGCCTTAGATGAGATGGTCCCAGGAAGGGACTCTGTGCAAACCATGCATGGCAATATGGCATGGAATTTGATCCCAAGTTCCAAACTTTTACCTACCAAGATTTCAAAAGGAAGAAAAAGGCCAAAAAACATAAAAACAAAACTTTATTGGATTTTAGTCGGCCGAACAAAGAGTTTGGGATTATAATTTAAAGGGGTTTTCCTGTATATAAAAAATTATCTGAAGTTTGAAGGATTTTTGTCATTCTTGCTAAGCAAGTAAAATAGTTATCATTCTTTACCTTCATACCAAATGTTATCTCACTTATCACCCACTAATAGCACCCAATTCTAAAAGCACTTGTAACTTGGAGAAATTTGTGTCACTGGATGAATACTTCTCTATGCCTATACATCTCGTTATGTGATCAGAAATACAAATAGAACAGCTCTATAGATCCAGTGACACAACAGAATCTCTCATTAGTGCGGCACAAACCGAAGCCAATGCCAGACATCAGTGGCGAGCATGGACTTGATATGTTGGTCGATTTGCTGGCCAAGGTGACAGTACAATGACTTGGAGTGATTTATAGGCACTCTAATGTTATGATATTCGTTCTACACACCCACAACATTTGACAAATATACTAAAAGCAAACCTTAAATGGAAAAATCAAGGAGGGAGGACTGAGGAGCCAGCAAGTCTCCGTCTTCCCCACTCCAATGACCCATTTTCCTCAATTCCGGTCACCCCCTCCATATCATCTTTCAAGCTTCGACCAAGTTGAGAGGAACAGAGGAAGGGGTTCGCGGTGGTGACAAGAGAGGGGGAAGCACGGACCTAGAAAGGGTGGTCGAGGTGAAGCGGTTTCATTTTCTTCGTTCTAGTTTAGTTTTAAAAATGTCAAAAATAATTCAGACTGCCAACTCTTATCAGTATTAGAATTTTCTGCAAGGAGAATCAACTTTCGTTTCAAGATACCAAAAAAAATGTCAAAAAGAATAAAAGAAGATACATCCTGCCCCCAACACAATGTGTGCCAGAAAATGTTGTAAAAAAATTCATCAAAATCTAGTGACTGTAGACTCTCTGCTGATCAAGCACGGTCGTTAAACAGATACATTTCCTACAGTGGCATTTTGCTTGAATTGCCAAGTAATGTGAACTGAGGATGACAATAATAAACGAATCGATTTGATACAGTCATGCTTCACTATACATACCGGTTCTCCTCATTCTTAGTTAATCCCTTTTCCTTCATCTTCATTTAGAATGCGATTCTGGAAATCACTCACCATTAGGGGCAGTCCTTCCCTCAGTGAGACTTTCGGCTCCCAGTTCAATAACTCCTTGGCTTTGCTAATATCGGGCTTCCTCTTGTGTGGATCATCAGCAGTG